CATTAGTCTTGAATAAGAGATACATGCAATATGGAAATAAAAGACAATTATAAACCAGAACGCCTTCAATTTATATAAGGCTAATATTATTGATGGGAAGTGTTAGAATAAAATAATATAGGTCACTAAATGTGCTGCTTCATGGTAAGAAAAGAAAGAATCCTATAGGAAACTAAAGAGGTGAGAGAAAAGTCTTATTTAAATTTAAATCTAAATCTATTGGGCCTCCCCGGTGGCGCAGCGGTTGAGCACTGGGTTGCGAAGCTGCCCACGGCCTCTGTGGCGCCGGTTCGATCCCCGGTTGCTCCCCAGCCACCAGAGGAGGGTCCCACATGGCGCGCAGACCTCTCCTGCCGCCCGCTGCTCCCCTCAGCAGTGTGCTTCGGTCCTTCTGCCTGGTCTGCTCCCCGCTCTGGCTCTGGTGAATTCTCTCACCCTCCCGCGCTTCTTACTGTACCCAGTACATGTATAAACAAAACAAACAAGTAAATAAAAATCATAAATAAATAAAAATACATGCCTCTTAAAAAAATAAAAAATAAAAAAAGTTAAAAAAATAAATTTAAATCTATTTTTTAAAATAAAAAATATAAAAAATAAAATTTAAATTAAAAAAAGTTAAAGGAACAATGAAAAAAATTTAAATCTATTAGAGCACCAATATAAAATGTAATTTTTTTAATTCAAAACAGTCAAACAACAGCAATTTCATATAGTTTTCCCTAATATACAGGCTCTGTCTTTTGTTAAGTCAAATAAGAACCAAAATGCTTCCTGTGATATTGAACAACTAATACAATTTAATTACGAAGTTCGTGTTTAAGTTCCCAGGAGCTTAACCTTTCATTTCAACTAGTGGCCTTTGGGAATAGTTTAGGGATAGGTGTTTGCAATGGATGTTGAAGACTACTTGGCTTAGTGATGGTGATGGCTTAGAAAAATATTCAAGGCCAAGGGCAGTAGCTTAAGTAGGAGAATGGATTCAAAACAGTGAGTACTGTCTGCTGCCTTTTGTATAAGGAAGGAAAAAAGGTGCATATTATGTACCTGTATAGATTTAAAATTTTTCTGTATACTCACAAGAAACTAGTATCAGTGGTTGACTATTTGTAGTCCGATATGGAATCCAGATAGATAGGGTACCAGGGCAAGGAAAATTTTGCTACTTAGAGTAGAGTGTAAGATCCAAGAGAGAATTTAATGGACTGGGCTACTTGTACTTTAGTTTCTAGGAAATGGAAAGTCATGAAAAATTTTAAACATAAGAGTGACATAACCCTTAATCCTTCATGGAAGGGTTAAGAATTGGCTCGGCAATGTATGAAGTGCAAGAAATGTTACATTATTTTGTGTTCCAAAATCAAATCAAATTGCCTTCATCCCCCATTTGCCAGAGTTGGCCCTAAAACCCAGCTTAGTTGGAGATGGCAGTGGGAAGGAATAGTCTCAGCACTCCAATCCCATTAGGATTGTATGGAAATTCTAGGAGCTCATGGTTCTGTATTATGCTAATGCTGTCCTCACGGAATGCATTAGAAGTTTTCCCTCTGCTTTTATTTTCCGGAAGAGACTGTCGAAAATTGGTATGATTTCTTCCTTAAATGTTTTTCATTTAAGGAATTCACGAGAGAAACAATCTAGGTCTGCTGCATTCTAATTCTGGAAAGTTTAGGTATTGATTTAACTTCATTAATAGATATAAGGCTATTCATTAGATTAGCAGAGGGATGGGGCAGAAGCAAAAAGTAGAGAAAATGAAAAAAACTGATTGAGACAAGAACTGAAGATTCATTCAGGAAAGTAGTTTTGAGAACAAATGGGTTAGTAGTGAGCAGAACAAGGAAGATTACTACATTTAAGTGGGCAGTATGTGGAGATTCCGAGAAGAGCTATTTCAGGAGACTGTTGATCTGTGGAGACAGAACTATTCATTACTTAAAATGTACCATTTGATTTTTGTGTGTGAATAATATCCTTCATAATTTCTCATGAAAATAACACTACCACCCTGTTTCAATGTCATGATGTCTTTTAGCTGGTTGTACCTTTCTGGACTGCCATAATCAGGAAATTGATTTGGAAAAAAGGAGCTTAAATTATCCATAATCCTTGGGATCATGAAACCAATGGTAAACAAAGAAGATAAACATTATATGAATGAGCTTAGTGGAATTTAGGATGTAAAAAATTAGATTTACATTCTTATCTCATGAAATATATTCACACCACACTAAACCCAAATGTGGAGATGAAAATAATCTGATGAGTATTTAAAATTTATGTAGTTATTAAATTCCTCAAAAATCAGGGCATTAAAAACAATAACTAAGAAGTCTTGTTCTTTACTACAGTTGTTTGTAGAATGCTATTCAGATAGCTTAAGTATTAGTGACATGAGATTCTATACTTTTTTTTCATAACAAAGAACATTACTCTTTTCCTTTTGTTCAAACCAATAAGAAAAGGTTACTATAGTTACAAATATCAATAGGATACAGTCCCTGTCTATAATGAGATGAGACTTTTGGGGGCTTTGTGAGGCAATGAATGTATTTTTCATGCGGGAGAAATGTAAATCACTGGACCAGAATGTGGACAATAGTAGGCAGTCTTCAAGATGGCACCCAAAGATCCCAGACTGCTCTTATTCTTGCTCTTGTGTAATCCCCTCAGCGTGACTGTAGGCTGGACCTAGTGACTCACTTCTAACAAACACAATGGAGGAAAGGTGAGGGATGTCTCTTCTGAGATGAGATTATAAAAATTTGGTACTTTTGTCTTGCTCACCCTCTCTTGATTGCTCATTTGCTGGAAGTCAGTGGCCATTTTGTGAGTTGCCCTTTGGAGAGGCATAGTGGGCAAGGCACTGAGGGCAGCCTCTGACCAGCTGAAGCTTCAGTTCAGTAATCCATGAGGACCTTAATCCCACCAACAATCATGGGATCCTCCCCTAGTTGAGTCTTCAGATGATGGCAGACCTAGTAAATACTTTGATTACAGCCTCATGAGAAACTCTGAGCCAGAGGACCTAGATAGTTGCTCCCAGATTCCTGACCCACAAAAGCCATAAGACAGTGTTTGTTGCTTTAGTCATTAAGTTTTTGAATAGTTTGTTATTTAGCAATAGATAACTAACACTGCCCTCAAGTAACTTATAGTCTAAGTGAAATATACATATAAGGTAGTAGTTAAAATTTATATAGTGTTTATTATATACCAGACACTTTTCTAAGTATTTTACATATATTAATTTAATCTTCATAATAACTGAGTTAAGCATTACTACTATCACCATTTTATAGATGAGGAAATTGAGGCAACAAAAGGTTAAATAATTTATAGTCACATAGTAGAGCTGAGATTGACACCTAAGCAGGATTGGAAACTTTAAAGGAATTCTTTCTAAGCAGGTGGAATAGCATATGGCTAAGGTGTGAGGGCATAAAATGACATAATACTCACCAATGACATATGTTACTCTTCCTTTCAAATGAATGTGTCAATAGTAAGTTATGCAGTCCTCTTTATATTCTGACATTTACTTCTCTTGGTAAATATGATCTTCTCTGATTTCTACTAAGCCATTATTAAGAAAAAAAGAGTAATGCCTGATTTTCAATCATGGGAGGACTCGCAATGAGCTGAGTCGCAAAATTACCTCACTCATTTCAACATGCAGAGTGATTCAGAGGATTAATAATGGAGTCTTCTGTAGCAACAGCAGCTCAATGTTTATATACTTCTCACGTGCTGTCCACTAGAGAGTGCTCAACAACCACAGTGCTCTTCCTGCCCTTGGTACAATGAGGAAGATTAGTTATATGTTTGGGAACTATAATCATGTTTCTGTAATTAAATGTACTTTTAATAATCTTGCCATGTGGTTGAGCGCAGCACTGTGAAGCTGTCTGCAGTCTCTGCAGTGTGGGTTCTATCCCAGCGGGCCTGCGAGGGTCCCACATGGCGCGGCAGACCTCTCCTGTCACAATTACTACTCCCCTCAGCAGTATATTTCGTCAGTCTGCCTGTTCTGTTCCCCACTCTGTCTCTGGTGAATCCTGTCACCTGTTGCCCTGTACCCCGATTCTTGTATAAATAAGTAAATAAATCTTTAAAAAAATAATTATCTTGCCATAGATCCAAAAACCTAGTGAGTATTTGGTAGCAAAAATGAAGAGAACAGAAAAAGGAGGATTAAACAGAACTCTGATTTAGTCACTGGAAAAAATCGACTAGGTAGCACTGAAAACAGAAAGAAGAGCCTATAGAGGTAATAATTAGGTATATTAAACAAATGGTTGCCTTTCTCATTCATTATCTTAATTATTTTCAAAGTACAGCTTAAAAATTGTTCTTTGAGATAATTATAGATACAACTTACAAGAAATAAAGCAGAGATCCTGCATAGCACAATAGCACAACCAGGAATTAAGGTTACAACAATATATCAAATTTATTGTTTTTACAGTTTTATTTGCACTCATTCCTTTGTGTGCACATGTGTGTGTGAACTTATTCCTATGCAATTTTATTATATATGTAGACTAGTGTGGCCACCATAATCAAGGTGCAGAAGAATTTCATCACAAAGATCCCTCATGTTACACCTTTGTAGTTACAGCTATTCCGTCTTTCTTACTCTAATCCCAGGCAACCTCCAATCAGTGCTCCATCTCTATAAAATTTGTCTTTCAAGATTTGCTCTCTCTATATAAATATATATAAACCTATATATATATATATATATATATATATATATATATAAACCTCTCTCTATATATAAACCTTTTGAGACTGGCTTTTTTTGGTCACTTGATATAATTCCCTTAATATTCATCCATGCCATTCTGTGTATTAATAGTTCATGCCTTTTACTGATGAGTAGTATTCCAGGATATGTATGGATGTATCAGTTTAACCATTCACCTATTGAAGGACATTTGGATTGCTTCTTTCTGGGGGCTATCACAAATAAAACTTTTGCAAACATTTGTGTACAGGTTTTTGTGTGACTAAGGTTCTCATTTCTCTGGAACGAACGCCCAGAATTACAACTGCTGGATTATGTGGTAAGTGTATATTTAGTTTTGTAAGAAACGACAGAGCACCTGCATCTTTCTACATTCCCACCAGCAATGAGTGATTCAGTTTCCTTGCATTCTTGCCAGCATTTGGTAAATCACTATCTTTCATGTTAGTCATTCTGATAGGAGATAATATCTCACTGTGGTTTAAATTTATATTTTGCTAATTGCTAATGATTGTTGAGCAGTTTTTTACGTACTTTTGCCATCCCTAGATCCCTTTCAGTGATAAGTATGTTGATGTCCTTTGCCCTTTTTCTGATTGGATTTTTTTTATTTATTTATACAAGAACCAGGGTACAGGCCACATTCGCGGGAGGGTGAGAGGATTCACCAGAAACAGAGTAGGGAGCAAAATAGGCAGATTGACCAAAGTACGCTGCTGAGGGGAGCAGCGGGTGAGACAGGAGAGCTCTGCCACACCATTTGGGTCTCTCCCTGGCCGGCCAGGATCAAACCCGCGCTGCAGAGGCTGCAGACAGCTTCACAGTGCCGTGCTCAACTGCCTGTGCCACCAGGGAGGTGGATTGTTTTTGATATTGAGTTTTGGGAGTTTTATATTCTAGGTGCACATCTTGCCAGGTATGTGGTTTGAAAATACTTTTTCTCAGTTGTTTGTCCTTTTCACAAAGTTTTTAATTTTGATGAAGTCCAATTTATCAATTTTTCTTTCTACGGATTGTGCTTCCGATGTCAAATCAAAGAATTCTTTGCTTACCCCTAGATCACAAAGATATTTGCCCACACTTTAAAAAAAAGTTTAACATTTTATGTTACCTGTGTTACATTTAAGTCAGTAATCCATTTTGAAATAAGTTTTATAACACTAGGAGACTTAGGTTGAAGTTCTTTCTGTTTTGAGGGGGGAGAAGCTGGGGGTGAGAAACCGTCGATTACTTTACCACTATTACTAAAGAGGCTACCTTTCCTTTAATGAATTTCTTTTGTACCTTTGTTAAAAATCATCTGAGCATGGGCCTCCCTGGTGGCGCAAGGGGTTAAGATGCAGCCTATGAAACTCTCCGCAGCCACTGCAGCACGAGTTCCACATGGCACAGCAGACCTCTCCTGACTCACCCCCTGCTCCCTTCAGCAGTGTATTTCTGTCGATCTGCCTGTTCTGTTCCCCACTCTGTCTCTGGTGAATCCTCTCACCCCCCACACCTCTGGCCTGTACCCCAGTTCTTGAATGCATAAATAAATAAATCTTAAAAAAATCATCTGAGCATATTTGTGTGGGCCTATTCCTGGGTTCTCTAATTTCTTATTTCATTGATCTTATGTGTCTATCCCCTGCCAAAACCATGCATTCTTGGTTACTATAGAGACACACACACATACAAACACACTTAACTCTAATATTTTTCACTGATGCTATCTTGGTTAACAACACTTTATATGATTTAGGGGTATAGGCTCACACCTCTTCAGATGTATGTTACTACATCACGCCCACCTCCCGTAATCTTCCATCATGGTCCATTTGGCCCCTTTCGCCCTTTCCTCCTCATATTCACCCTCCACCATCTAGTAGTTTCAATTTACTGTAGCTATATATTAATTCTTAACATTGGGTAGAGTGATTCCTTCCATTGTCTTCCTTTTCACAATTATTTCTAGCTATTCTATTTTTTTTAAAGATTTATTTATTTATTTATTTATTTATTTATTTATTTATTTATTTATTTATTTATACAAGCACTGGGTACAGTCAGAAACGTGGGAAGGAGAGAGAATTCACCAGAGCCAGAGTGGGGAGCAGAGCAGGCAGAAGGACCGAAGCACACTGCTGAGGGGAGCAGCGGGCGGCAGGAGAGGTCTGCGCGCCATGTGGGACCTTCCTCTGGTGGCCGGGGAGCAGCCAGGGATCGAACCGGTACCGCAGAGGCTGCCCGCAGCTTCACAACCCAGCGCTCAACTGCTGCACCACCAGGGAGGCCCTATTTCTAGTTATTCTAGATCCTGTGCCTTTATGTATAAATTTTATAACAAGTGGGTTTGTTATAAAATTTTCTGGTGAGATTTTTCACTAGAATCCATTAAATCTATGATAATCAATTTAGGGAGAATTAACATCTTTACTGAGTCTTCCAATTTATGAATACAGTATTTTTATGCATTTATTTAGATTTTTTTATTTCTTTCATTAACATTTTGAAAATTTCAGAATATAGATCCTATATTTGCTTTATTAGATTTATATGTAATTTTATTTGGAGCAACTGTAAATGGCATTGCATTTTTAATTTGTTTCTATGTGTTCACTATTAGTATATAGAAATGCAGTTAATTTTTATGTGCTGACCTTGCATCTTATGGCCTTTCTGTACTTATTAGACCTAGGATTGATTGATTGATTGATTGATTGAGTGTGTGTGTGTGTATGTGTGTGTGTGGTGTATTCCTTGGAACTTTCTGCTTGGATACTAATACCATTGGTAAATAGATATAGTATTATTTCCTCCTTTCCAATCTGTAGGCCTTGCCTATTCTTTCTCTCTCTCTCTTTTATTGAACTAGCTACAATTTCAGTCATTTCATGAGAGTGGGATTAGTGAACGTCCTACCACATCTTAGGAAAGCGCATTCAGTGTTTCATCGGTGTAGTGGCAGGAAGGGCCAATGAGCAGGTTATCTATGATCCAGCAGATGGGTAAAGGAGGAGTCCTGGAGCCCTAGGTGGCTTTCTCAGGCTTTTACTGAGATTTTGCATGTAGTGTGGCAACAGGTACATGGCAGGCAGGGGTGCCTATCCTCCTCCTGGCCCCGGCAAGTCTTCACTCTGGCTTCTCTGGTTTCTTTCTCCCCTTCTCTTTTTCCTGCTTCTCCTTCTCTTGGTGACTATCTCAATACTCCTCCCATGGCCCACAGAAGTAAACAATACAGCTTACAACAGTGTAACTACTGCAGGTGCCCCATCAGGCAGGGCAATTCTAATGGTGGGAGCGCAGAAAAGCCTGAAAACCATTTACCCTACAATCAGTAAGTATGAGGTTAGCTGTAAGTTTTTGAATATATATATATATTTTAAATATTTATTTATTTATACAAGAGCCAGCGGTACAGGCCAGATTCGCGGAGGGTGAAAGGATTCACCAGAGACAGAGCAGGGAACAGAACAGGCAGACTGGCGAAATACACTGCCGAGGGGAGCAATGGGCATGACAGGAGAGGTCTGCCGCGCCATGTGGGATTCTCGACGGCCAGCCGGGATCAAACTGGTGCTGCAGAAGCTGTGGACAGCTTCACAGTGCTGCGCTCAACCACCTGCACCACCAGGGGAGTCCCTGAATATATTTTTTAAACAAGTTTAGGTTTCTAAAAAGGGTCCTACTTTACTGAGTGTTATGGTGGTAGGTGGTGTCAAATGTTGTTTCAGCATCAATTAATATGATCATATGATTTTTCTTCTTTATCCTGTTGACATGGTGAACTACATTGTTCAGTTTTTGAATGCTGAGCCAGCCTGGAATAAACCCTATTACAGCAAACCAGATTTACATGCCAGGAATAAAGCCTCCTACATCATGGTATATAAACCTGTTCAAATACAGTTGTAATCATATTATTATAATATTTTGTGTTATTTTGTAATATTCTGTATTATATTATAATATTTTGTATTATAATATTTTATAATCATATAATTATAATCATAATATTTTGTGAATATTTTTGCAATTAAATTCATGAGAGATACTTGTCTTTCAAAAGTTTTCTTCTGGCTTACTGTTGTGGGTTTTGGTATCAGGGATATACAAACTTCATAAAATGAAATGGGAAGTATTCTGTCCCCTCATATTTTCTGGAAGAGACTGTGTAGAGCTGGTATTAATTCTTCTTTGAAGGTTTGGCAGAATTCTCCAGTGAACCATGTGAGCTTAGAGATTTACTGTTTGAGAGTTTTAAAATTATGAATTCAATTTCCTCAATAGCTACAGGGCTATTCAAATGATGTATTTCTTATTAAGCAAGTTGTGTTTTTCAGAATTGATTTAGTTCATCTAATGTTAACTCTATATGTATATAGCTGTAGCAGTATTTCCCTTTTAACCTTTTGATGTCTGCAGGTCTGTAGTGATACCCTGTTTCTTTTTTTTTTTTTTTTTTAAATATTTATTTATTTATTTATTTATTTATGCAAGCACTGGGCACAGTCAGAGGCACAGGAGGGTGAGAGAATTCACCAGAGCCAGAGAGGGGAGCAGAGCAGGCAGAAGGACCGAAGTACACTGCTGAGGGGAGCAGCGGGCGGCAGGAGAGGTCTGCGCGCCATGTGGGACCCTCCTCCGGTGGCTGGGGAGCAGCCAGGGATGGAACCGGCGCTGCAGAGGCTGCGGGCAGCTTCGCAACCCAGCGCTCAACCGCTGCGCCACCGAGGAGGCCCATGATACCCTGTTTCATTCTCAAAATTGATAGTGTTTTCTTTCTTTTACTCTGTGTCGATCTTTCTAGAAATTTATTAATTTCCTTTTCCTGATTTTCTCTAGTTTCCCCATCTCCAACTTTATTGATATCTGCTCTTATATTTATTGCTCCTTCCTTCTGCTTGTCCTGAGTTTATTTTGTGCTTCTTTTCTCAGTTTCTTGAGGTGAGACTTTTTTGACCCATGCATTATTGAAAAGTATGTTGGCTTGTTTCCAAGTGATTGGAGATTATCTTTTTTTTTTTTTTACTCCTAGTTTGATTCCATTGCGCTTGGACAACATACTTAGTATGACTTAAATTCTTCTAAGTTTAGTGAGATTTATTATATCCTTGCTGATTTTCTGTCAATTGTTGAGAGGGGTGTTGAAGTCTCCAACCAATATTTTGAATTTATACACAATGTTAATTTGATATATCCATATATTATAAAATGGTTACAACCTTTGTGGTAATTTTTAAAATTTTGGTAAAATATACATGAAATTTATCATTTTAGCCATTTTAAGAGTATAATTTAAAAACAAATGAAAAACAAAAAGATAAAGAGT